CATACACAATTAAAGCTGTTATATATGTATATAACATCATACAGAATATATTACACTATGTGTAATATATAATAGAATAATAGGAAATTAAAATATAAATTACTTATATGAATAAACCAACTGTAACAATACTTTATACACATATACCATTAAATTAGTACAACTTATTACACACTGTGTAATAAATAATGACAGTATGCCACTCTTAGTAATAATTTAATATAATAGTATATGTGTATAATATAATACTTATTACACATAGGTTATTAAATTAGTATAACTTATTACATAGTGTGTTTTAAATTTTACTTAAAAATAAAATTTCAGTTGTAATGTCATACAATGTATTAAAAATAAAATGACGTATTTGAGTGGTCAATTAAAAATCATTAGATTTTAAAGACTGTTTTAGAGTAAATATGATTTGTGCTGTACTGTCATTGGTATAAAGTAAATTCTGTGGATGAAAATAGTTTTTATTGCTAAATGCAGAGACTAAAAAATAAAAAAGTGCCTTTTATCCTTCAAGGTATAAAGTATATTATGTTGTGCGCTGTAATAATCCATACAGTTCAAGGAAATTGCACCATGGAAGAATTAACAATAATTGTGACAAATCCATTTCTTAAAGTAAACACAAAAAATACAGAATTATCTAAAACCTACTGTATAAACCCAGATAGTGCACTTAATCTGGTGTTTGGATATATTCACCATAGACTTAAATATATATTTAATAAGAGGTTTTACTCATCCGAAATAGATATTCACTATAAAATACTACAAAAAAGATTAGAACAAATACAGAATTCCATTAAAAGAGACAGTTATAAAGATACAGCAGAACAAAAATTAAATGAAACACCATTAGATGTGTATTTATACAAATACAATAGGGTATTCATAAAACTATTTCCATCACATTATATGGGACTGTCCATAAACTCGTCTGATTATAATACATTCACGTGGTTTCTTAAGCATAGGATGGTTTATAAGAAATCTTCTTATATTCTGGCAATATTACTGCTTTTATCTGAAGGATTAGACTTACCTGTCATATTTACTAATAATAAGAATTCTACTGTGATTTTAGAAGAAGTAATTATTAATAATAAAATGTGCTTTAACATAAACACAATAATTATTTCTAAGAGCATCCACTCGTACGAACATATTAGTTTGCAATTATATGAGAAAGAATTAAAAGAAATAATTGAATTTTTTATGAAGTATAAGAACACTTACTATACAAATAATAAAAACCTGTTTGGAGTAGGTTATTATGATGAGTTTAAGAGTGGAAGTATTCTTAACACGACAGTATTCCTGATACAGTCGTATATATACATGTTTTTAAATACAGTAAATGATATACAGAAATTTAATTATTCTGTATATGAAATATTATATAAGTACATTAAGCATAACAAAGAATGTGGTGGGAATATTAAAAACCTTCTAATAGCACAGAGAATATTTAATAGATATTTTATTCCGAGGAATAAAAAAAATAAGAGAAATTCAATGGCATACATAGATCGCATTAATAAGCTGAATGCGATTATAGAGAAATTTAAAGAAAAGGCGATTAAAAGGAGAATTACTACAGAGTTAAACATACAAGAAGTGCAGAATAGTATAAAAAAGAGAATTTCTAAATTGGACAGTGAAAATACAAGTATAGAGAATATGATAAATAGAATTCTATTGGTATTTAGTCTTTTATCATATAACAGTAAGAAAGGAAAGTATAATCCTGATAGTATACACAACATGCCATATGAAATATCTCATTTCTTTGATATATTAGGATCACCAGCATATGCATGTAACTATAATTTGTATAAGAAGTGGCAGGAGTATTTTTATTCTGGGTATAATAAAAAGTATCTTAGTAAGAATATAAAGAGTACATATAATTACAAAGATGATTCAAATTCGTATATAAATAAAATATACAATGAATACATAAATATAAATGTGCATGGACTAATTCAATCAAAAACGATAAAAACACTTATTGCTAAACATAGTAAACTATTAAGTACATTATCTGCTGTAAAAAAGAGTGTGTTTAGCTCGATAATTAACCAATTCACGCCAAAAGAACTAAAAAATTTCAGATGTGTAGATTTATACAAGTCGCATTGTTTAATAGAAAGTAGTTTAAACCCGCGTATAAAAACCCATCCGAATTTATCCATAATATTCATGTCGTATGAAGATTTACTTAATGACTTTGATTCAGACACTTCTGCTGAATGGAATGGTATAGTGAATAATTATGAAAATTCAAAATATCCACCATCCCAAAATATTCTATATATGAAATTTCTACTAGAAAATTACATAACCAAAACTTTCTCAAAACCCACAGTAGCCCAAAATGAAGTAGTAAATAATATTCTGAATATTCTGAATATTCTTAAAATAAGAGAAAATAGTAGAGATAAAAGCACAAATTGCTTATTAATACAAGGAAATATTGAAAATACTAAGTATAAGAACTCTCTTTTGTTCTCAATATTATTATACAGTATATTCTCTAAAACAAAGACAGATTCTAAACTAAAAAAGTTTTATTCAAATGTAGTGGGAAGTATTTCATTCCCAGAGAATAATTCTAATATTAATTTAAATGAGTATTTAGAGATATTTCAATTCAAAGAGAACATAGAATATTTACCAAATATAAATATAGAATATTATACTAAATGCAAATATATAATAGATTTATACAGCACATCCATTATATACACATACATAGATAATATTAATACAAGCGCAGAAGCAATAGTAAATTATATAATCAAATGGCTATCATCATATAGAAATAGTTCAGATTATATTTTAGTAATAGACAGACTATCTGATAAAAATCTATTTTTAAAAATAACAGAAAATAATCCAGAAGAAAACATAAGAAAAATAACGGACAAGCTTAAAGAAATCTCTCCTAATATTAAATTTTACATAGAATTGTTATGGCTATGCATTTCACTTGCAAATAATTCAGATACAGTGAGCATTCTATACAAATCCATTAATATTAATGACACTTTTGTATTTTTGCGTATAAATAACAGAATCATAAAAAATGAATTTATAAAGGTAAAGCCATTATTTAAAAAAATGCTAAGATCAGAAAATACCGAATATGATCTTAATAAGCTTAATAGTATTATAACAGTATTAGAGATTTATTCTATTTAACAATTACATTAAAAATAACCGTTCTTTCTATATTTAATAGTACTTTACTTATTCATATTTCATTATAAATCTTATTTTTTATATCAATTTACTTCTATAATATAATAGAAAATATTCAAAATATGAAATTATTATTATTATTGTATAATATATCGTATATAGTAATATTATCAATATACTTCTCATTTCTTATTACTACTTCATTTGTATTATTATGGTTATTTATATTCATTATAATAGAATGTGTATTTAATGCAATATATAATAGAAATTATTTATTACTTTTCTATTTATAGTAAATTAAAAATAACTGTTATATAATTATAAATTAAGCCAAAATATTAGAATTACACAATATTAAACTTTAATATTTAATTTTTATTATACTTTTTACTTATTCTGACTTATCCTGTATAATGTCCTTACAAATATTTATATTCTTATAATAAGAAGTATACTAATTATCTTACTATTAGTATAAAATATATAATATACTCAAGGAGTAATGCGATTTCTGCCTTGCTACATAATACAATAGATAAAGATAGTTGAAAAGTGATATTTATTATGTATAGAAAGCAGTACTAGTCTATACCGACTCAGAGTTCTAGTGATACAGCTGTGTCAGACCTAGTATTAAAGTATACTATTAATGAATTTCATGCTTCTTCTCCTAAATTTAAGGAAGTCCTCTGCTTAAATATTTGAAATTTTATCTGTTTTTCTATAGTCACAGTCTTTTGTTTTAGAAGTATCACCACATGAGCTAGTGCGCTAAATTTCGGGTTATCCATGGGAACATGCCAGTGTTATGATATAGCCCGAAATTTCTAATTAGACCATATTATAATTAAGTATAATATATGTAAATATGTACACATTCGTATTATTTATAATAACCCGAAATATAATTCTTATTATGCTAGGCTTGGTATACAAAAATACATTTTTAATTAACACAGAAATATACAATACCAGCCCAATTTACGATCAAAATATCTCTATAATAATAGCTTTAATGTAAATAAAATTAGTATGCCACACTCTAAAAGTAAAAGAACTATAATAACATATTTTTTAAAAATGGAAATCAGTTTATTGATATAAGGTTCGAGGCCCATCGAACGGATGGCCGTCGAGCGCTACACACTCTCTTCCTATTCTCTCTAAGCCGTCCCTCATGCCCCTAGGGCGGCTGCAACCCATAGAGTAAATATAATTCTATAAGTTATTATCATATAATCAGAAAGTTCTTTGTTCAGTAATACCCCAATATAAGTAAAGTATTCAGTAAAGTATACTATAAATTTATTATAAATAGAATAATTTATTTTTTATATTTTCATTCAATTTAAAAATAAATTATTCATAATTTCTTTTGTTTCAGTAGGGAATATTTCAATTATACTCATAATAATTATAAGAATAATTATAAATATTATTAGAATAATACTTAATACCCTTTTAAATTTATGCTTAAATGGAACAGCTGTCCCATTAATAATTGAAATATTATACTCTGCTGCTTCTAAATACTTTTGAATTACGCCATTCTTAAACTTATCAATGGTAAGTCCATTTTTGATTATATTATTAAATATATCAGATTCTAGAATATTATTATGAACATCTATTATCTTTTTGTTTTGTAGTTGGTTTAAATGCTTTTTAATTTTATTTATATTATATGTTTTATATGATTCAGTATCTTCTATACTTATAGTTGTATGCATATCAAATACTGCACCATATAAATTACATATAGAATAAAATAAAGATTTTTCATTATTTTTGGTTTTAATATAAATTGAACCATAAATTGAATTTTTAAAAAACTCACTAAAATTTGTGTTATTCCACACATATGTTCTTGTAAGTAGGTGTAATAATTTAATGTCATCATTAGTTATTCCTAAATTATCTGCATTTGAATGTTTTGTTCCATTCATATCTGTTATAATTAGATTGTCACCATATTTCATTAGTATATCTAATGCTTTCTGTAATTTAGAACACTCACCAGATTCAGTCAATTCGCATAATTTAATCATTGCATTCCCGGAAGTCATTTTATCATCTAGTTCTGATATTTTTATACTATTGCATAATATCTTAATAGATGAATCAAAAAAGGTCCTTCTGATTTTGTAACTATCTGCCATAATTCCATGATTATTCTCCATTAATCTATAAAATGCTTGTTTTTTATCTTCAGTATCTAATACTTCTGCTGACTTTTTAATTACATCTATAATTAAGTCTATATGGTATAGAGAGACTCGGTGAATTTTGATATAATATTGTCTTCTGTATAAACAAAGTCTTTAGCCATAGCCCTTTGAATTACTTGTCTATAAAGTATATTGTATGCAAGATTTGCCAGTGGCTCTGGTAATTCTGTAAATATTACTTCTTCTCTGTTAATTTCGGCTATTATATTATGTGAACTATGCATGATTTATTAAAATAAAATATTATTTATGCCTTACATATTATATAATTTGTTATTATCCTCTTCATCTATCTTTCCTTTTTTTCCTTTCAATTCATTTTGTAGTTTTGTTCTTAACGTATTTACATCAATATGACTTGCCATAAAAATATTTTATAAATTTTCTCCTTTAAACATTACGTTATTTAACTGATTATTAATGCATGTTTAATTAAGAAATAGTGTATTGATGTAATATATCATGAACTTCAGCAGGATACACTACTAGCACTACAGACATATTTTCTGAATATTATCGAATATTGCTACTTCATGCTATGATAGCTGTAGTAATTAAATAGTATTTACTGCTGGTATTGTAAGTACTAGTATAGCATAATACAGTATGCTAATTTATATACCAGAGGACAGCATTTGATT